AATACCTTTATTTTCGACAAACCCTGTATACGACTGATAAAATTTGATATCAGATAATTGAAATTTAGGTTTTAGACCATGCATAACTTTTTATGTAAAGTAACTTTTTTTCTAAAATTAATAGACCATGCAATTGTTTATGAAAAATAAGTTTTTTTTTTTTTAATTCTTAAAAAGGTTTTCCGTATGCCGATGACGCCAACTTACATATAAATGAGATTAAATTTTTTGAAAATATTTTTTACTGATGCAGATCTAAATAAAGTATTGTTGGTAAATAAGGTACATTTTTCTTTTTTTATTTGGTTCTTTGGCTGTAAGACCTTTCGGTATATACATGGTATTCCATTAAGAATGGGAGCAAATGAAGATTAATTGATTAGAAATAAGCCGATTAAACGAAACATCCGTAGGTAAAACATTACTTGTTTCCGAAAAACAGAGTTTTAAAGTTGAAAATCAAAAATTATAAATAGCTACAATTTTTTTATTACTCAGTTTAATTTTACTAAATTCGGCAAACGTTATTGGTGTAATAAAATACATCTATCAGCAAAAAATAAGTTAAATAAGCTTTGCCAGTGGCGTACGTCATGGGCCAGTAACATCTTTTTCCTTCTAAATTTTAGTCCACGTCCACTTTTGATGTTTTTTAAATAAAGTTGAGTTAGTTTTTGAGATATTCGCACATATTAGAAAATTCTGTAGTTTTTAAATTTCGATTTTTTTTTATTTAATTTCTAAGAGTACATTATTTATTTTAAAAACATCAAAAAATTTAAAATTTTATGTCCAAATAACATTTTGGATAGTGACGTAAAATTTAAGAGGTATGTGGTATTACGTACGAATGCTGTACGCCACTGGAAAAGTTAATTAAGGTAACTTATTTTTTTGCTGATAGGTGGATAATTTGACACCAAAAATGTTTGCCAAATTTAGTAAAATTGTTGTGAGTAATAAAAAAAATAAAGCAATAAATATTTTTTGGATTTTAACACCTTAACTCGGTACCAAGAAACATTTTATCTAAGCATGATTTGTTTAGTTGTCTTATTTTTAATCAGAGAATCGTCAGTTGTTCTATATCCCATTCTTAACGAAACACTATGTATAGTATAAGTGGTCCCTACGTAATGATACGAAGACCGTTGTCCTTTGTTGATTGGACACAAGAATGAACTACTAAACAGCGTTGGGTTTTTAGTAGCAACAGCTTGTACTGAAATTCAGATCGTGATTGTACCAGAACGTACTAGATTTGGCGATAAATTTCAAATGAGAACACAAACTCATTTTAAACCAAAAAATAAATAAAATGGGTATAACAAAAATATATTCTTACGTTGGTAAATAAAAAATTTAAAAAGAAACCAAAATAAACTTTATTTTAAACAAAAAAATATAAATTAAAATACGCAAAACAAAAATATATTTTTATATGGTTAAATAATAAAATTTAAAAATAAAAACAAACACTTATTTTTTATAGAAAAACAAATAAAATAAGGGTAAAAATTAAAAAATATTTGTTATGTCAATAGATTTACAATAATTAATCTATAATAGACTGTAAGTGTAGTATTCTTTTTAATAAATAATTTACCGTAATTAACAATGTTTAAATTTATTTACTAGAACATGAAAGTGTAGTCGATATTTATCAGGTTTTTAAATTTCCCGCTGGGTTATTTGTTTGATATCGATGATAGCGACACATAGTGGGCCAGATGTTAACTGCGTTCGAGCTGGTGGTTGTTAAGCATATGCTTAGGAGCGTATCTTATATTTATGTCCCTTATATGAAGACTCATACTCCCTTATCTCTTACCCATTATTTTCAAAGTATGGGAGCACTCATTTCTCTCAAGATTCTCATCAGAAATGTCGTACGTCAATGTGGAAACGCTGTTTTAAAGGCCTCGAGGATTAAAATTCTTACGAGAATTTGTATTCCCTCTAAATAAACCAAGAGAAACAATCTGTGAGTTCACACTGGCCCCAAGGGCCCTAAAAATACTGTTTTACGTTGACATATTATGACATTTCTCTTGAGAGGAATGACTTTTCTCGAGTTTGAAAATAGCCTCCCTGGTATAAAGTATCGCATTGGGAGTATCAGAAGTATCTACTGTCTAGCATAGAAATTGGAAATCATAGAATACATTATTCTAGAAGATCCAGCGAAATATTTAAAATGTAACTAGATTTAGATACTTTTGTCTTTTGTGGTACTAGCATTTATGAATGGTTGAAATGTACTGAATCTAGTACAATTGTACTAATAAACCCAACGCTGCTACTAAATAAATATACCGACGTGCCGAATCTAATGCAAAAGTTTTATTTTTATACCTGTTTCATCGAAAATATTTGTCAAGGTCAAGAACTCGTTTAGTTATTATCGCGTAGTAGCTAGGGGTGATGAATTTGTTAGGTATTTTATAACAGTTACCGTTTAGAACTAATAAAATTATTACGCCATCTGTTGAACAAAAGAACTATTAAATATGGAATATTGCTCCATCTGCTGAACAAAAGGATTCTTAATTTATGACACATAAATGACATCTATCAAAATTAGTTCATGTTACGAATATTGGGGGTGGTACTGTGGTCTTAAATGTAAGAGGTTATCAATCTTCTCAAATGTGTTTGAAGTAGTAGCAATAAAGAAAAGAAACAGAAAATCATGTGCCACATATTTTCTTATTTATTTCTAAGATTTTAAGTAACAGAAAACGCTTAGATTATATAAAAAATCTGATGTGTCCAATACATAACTTTCTTGTCTTACCTAAAGTTATTATAATTTTTTTTCGGTTATTTTGTACCAACCTATTGTATCACCCCTGTAAATGTTTAGAGAATGAAGTAAATACATAAATTTTTCACATATATCTTGCTCAAAATATTTTTTATATATATTTATAACCAACGAATATATTAAAAAATTAAAATTCTTAAATATTCGGTTTTTTCACTTTTTGTCAAATTTTTCGAAAAGTTTTACTTTTCATCAAATTTTTCCATTACAGTCCATTTTACAGAGATCATGTGAAGAAAAAAATTATAGAGAATGATATCGCATACAACTTTTATTTGAACAATTTTTTAAAAAATTAGGATTGTGCACTTTTTAATTTTTCGAAAAATATTACTTTTCCTTAAATTTTTTCATTACGGTCCATTTTAAAGAAATCATGTATAGAACAAAAATTATAGAGAATGATACCGCATACAACTTTTATTTGAACATTTTTAAAAAAAAATAGAATTTTGCACTTTTTTCATTTTTCGAAAAATATTACTTTTCCTTAAATTTTTCCATTACGGCCCATTTTACAGAAATCATGTATAGAACAAAAATATAAAAAATGATATCGCAAACAACTTTTACTTGAACAATTTTCTTAAAAATTCGAATTTTGCACTATTTGACAATTTTTGGAAAAATTTTACTTTTCCTCAAATATTTCCATTACGGTCCATTTTAAATAAATCATGTATAGAACAAAAATTATAGAGAATGATATCGCAAACAACTTTTATTTGAACAATTTTCTTAAAATTTGAATTTTGCACTTTTTGACAATTTTTGGAAAATTTTACTTTTCCTCAAATATTTCCATTACGGTCCATTTTAAATAAATCATGTATAGAACAAAAATTATAGAGAATGATATCGCAAACAACTTTTATTTGAACAATTTTCTTAAAATTTGAATTTTGCACTTTTTTCTCGAAAAATTTTCCTCTTTTCTTCAAATTTTTCCATTACGGCCCATTTTACAGAAATCATGTATAGAACAAAAATATAAAAAATGATATCGCATACAACTTTTACTTGAACCATTTTCTTAAAATTTGAATTTTGCACTTTTTGACAATTTTTGGAAAAATTTTACTTTTCTTAAATTTTTCCATTACGGTCCATTTTAAAGAAATCTGTATAGAACAAAAATTATAGAGAATGATATCGCATACAACTTTTATTTGAACAATTTTTTAAAAAATTAGAATTTTGCACTTTTTTAAATTTTTCGAAAATATTACTTTTCCTAAAATTATTCCATTACGGTACATTTTAGACAAGTCATGATAGAACACACTATATAGCCTGATATTACAAACAACTTTTACTTGAACAAATTTCTTAAAATTCAAATTTTGCTTTTTTCAAATTTATCCAAAAATTTTATTTTTCCTCAATTTTTCCATTACGGTCCATTTTAGAGAAATCATGCATAGAACAAAAATTATAGAGAATAATATCAGAAACAACTTTTATTTGAACAATTTTCTTAAAAATTCGAATTTTGCACTTTTTATTAGATTTCTTGAATAAGGACCATTTTAGAAAAATTATGTATAGAACCAAAATTATAGAAAATAATATTACAAGCAAGTTTTATTTAAAGAATTTTCTTCTCCAATCATAAATAACAGACATATTCCATAAAGTAGAAAAATGACCCCCTATAAAGTATCCCCATATACTCCGACTATGCCCAAACTCTAATGGATTTCATTAGAGTATATTAAGTGTTTTTTTCTTTATCCGTTTTAGAGTTATTGCAGATACAGACATCATCACGAAAATGGTCAAAATGGATTCAGGGAACCCCAAAACGTAAAAATCAGTCGAAAAATCATGAGTCGTAAACTTTCCTTATCTGTATACAGACAGGAAAATAAAAATGGACAGATTAAAAAAAATAGAGAAGATATAACAAGACTAAAACGTTTTTTGAAGTAATTTAATGCATAATAAAATGCTTAATTTTTTATTTTGACAATTATTTTAAATGTTCCATATTTTATAATATAATCTAGTTTTCTGTTACTCAAAAAAAAATAACCTTAGAAATAAGAAAATTATTCTGAAATTTCTGAGCAATTCAAAGTTCAAATATAGAAAAATTAAAAGCAATATTTAAAATTTCTTTTCTTTTATTTAAATGTATTTAGTCTAAATGATTCAATATAATTAAACTTACCACCCATAAGTCAATATAACATCTCCATTACTAATTTTCTCCCTAACTTTCATACTAATAGCATCACCAGCCTTATTAATATCATCATCGATGTACGTATCGATTATATCTTGTAATTTCGCTTTCTTCTCACTGTCCTTTAAATTAGTATCGATTTGAGTCAGCTGCAATTTGAAATATCTAAGAGCATTCGTCATAGATACAGCGAACGGTCTACAAGTGTACAAATAATTCGCAGATACCTGCAAAACAGTTTCTAAATAACGACAGAATTCTTGTTTTGGATGCGATTTAAGATCGTTTATAAGCGATTTGAGAGCTGCTAAGAGAGCTAGACATCTGGCGTTAGAGCCTAGTACAACTTTGTTACCATATTGGACACCTAATTTGATAAAAGCAGGATGGATGTCTTGGTGAACGATTACAGCGTTAGCTTCTAGTTTTAGAATCTCTTCGTTGTATAAATGTTGAACTAATTGCACTTTGTGCGGTTGAATTATTTTTTTTATATCTTTCTTAGGTGATATTTTAGTTTCTTCTTTTTTCATATCTACTTTCTTAGTATCGTGTTTTTGAATAGTTTCTAATTTCTTTTCTACATCTTTTTTTTCTGTTGAAGGTGTTTTGGTGACAGGTTTCGAATGTTCTGTTTTTAATTGCCTTTGGGCTTCTTGCATTTCTCTTCTTTTAGCTTTTAATTCTGCTTTGCTTACGTTTTTATCGACGCCTTTTTCTTTATTTTGCTCCTCCAGTTTTTTCGCCCATTCTAATCTTCTTTGTTCTTTTTCTAGAAATAATATAATTCACTTTGTTATGAAATTTCCAATATGATGTTTCATTTCGATCATAGGGTTTAAGATATAGCAATAATGGGTAACCATAAAAGAAGCTGCCTAGATATTATTTAAACAACTGGGTGATCAGGAAAAAATTATAGAAAAAATAAATGCAAAGCTTTTGCAATCAAAAAATGATAATTCTTCATTAAATTTTATAATTTCTGGTAAGGAAGAACATGAAACAAAATTAAATAAAGACACAGAGGAATTAAATATTTTCAGTAAAGACATGGTAACAACCATCAGAATTTTAGAAAATGAAAACAAAATGGCCATTGACAATTTGAAGAATAAAGAATTAAGAAACCTTCAAGAAAATAATGCAAAATTAGAAAGATCCATTAAATCAATAAAAAAATCAAAATGAATGTTTCTTAAGCCGGCTACTCACTACGCGTTACTTTCCGAGTTACTTGACTTGGACTGAACTTGGCAAGTACTTGTTCGAGTACAAGTAAATCGTCTACATTACGCGCGCCTTCTAAAGTAGTAGTAGTAGCACAGCTTAACAATACAGCTAAAACACTCTCTTGGCGGCAACGGTTTGCGTCGATTTCGTCGCGCATCGCTTAAGCTCCGCCTTCGAAGGGAAAAGACGGTTTTGGCGTTCAGAAGTGTACTTAGGTAAGGTGTTGAGTCGTGCGTATAATTTCGTTGATTGTATAATTTCGTGGAGCCTATAATTTCGTAGATTTTGTTTGAGTTAAAGGTACTGTTATTATTTTGGTGACTCTTTAGCTGTGAGTAGAATGAATGAAAAAAAAGACATCATTCTGTTTGTGCAGTCAAAAGCTGTTTTAATAAGGGTTATACCTGCAAGAAAACATTCTTTAGTTTTCCCAAGGACCCAAACCGATAAGTACCACATTATAAGACATTTTCATTGTTAAAAATATAATTTATACAGGGTGTCCCATTAGTGCGTTATTGTTCATTATTTTGTTGTAGACACGCAAGAAAGTTTTAAATAAAAGTTATATGGATTTGAAAAATACCTACATATTTTAAAAATATCTTTGGATATACAGGGTGTCACGTTTTTGCCTGGCAAATTAAAATGTATGTTTTTTAAATGGAACACCTTGTATTTTATTTTATCATGAAATTATTAACACCCTAAATTATTGTAAAGACGAATTGCTACAGAAAATTTTTATCAGGTATGTGTAAGGTTACCTTTTAATAAAAGCCTTGCGGATCCACTCCTGCGATACCTGTCTTAAATATAACAAAGATCACGTTGAAATAGATGATTTTTCTTTTTATTGCTTTTTAAAGGCATATGATAACGCCAATTCAGATACATTTGGAAATCTGCAACTGTCAAATGATGAATTTGTAGAACTAATATTCAATATTGAAAAGATATTTCAAAATAATTTTGAAGAATTGGCTACAAAAAATAACATTTGTACCACACTTTTAGAATTAATTAACCCAATACCCTTTAGTCATCCATGCTAACGTTTTCCAAAAGAATAACTTATTTTATTGTATGTTTAATCTCAATAACTAAAAAATATACTGACAATTAGTTTGACAGAATTGTCATTTATTTAAAATTTTAAAAATAATAGCAGTCGGTTGATCAAAATATGAACGGTGATTGGCGAATTTATTTTTTTTGCAGTGTTCTCACTACCTAGAATGGATATGAAATATATTTGTTCAATTGAAGGCAATAGCATACTTTTTCGTTTTGTAATCTGTGCATGGATATTAGCCAATCTACGCACATACTACAAAACGAAAAAGTATGTCATTGTGTTCAACTACGAATATATTTCATATCCATTTTAGGTAGTAAGAACACTTTAACAAAATTAAATCTACAAATCATAGTTCATATTTTGGTCACCCAACTCCTATTATTTAAAATTTTTTAAATAAGTGACAATTCTGTTAAACTAATTGTCAATATATATTTTAGTTATTGATATTAAATATACATTAAAATTTTTGTGCAGACTCGATAAATAATAGCATTTTTGTTTCTATTGTGTCCACATTTAAAAAAAAATAAATTTTAATTAAACTACATGATACTAATTTAATTACGAGTATTAAAACTAAAGTCCTGAAAGTTTCGGTGAAGATGAAGACAGAGCATCTGCCTTCCACGCGAAAAGTCCGGGATCGAATCTAGGCCGAGGACTAATTAATTTTTCATGTTTATTTATTTTACAAATTAGTCAACTTCGTAAATTATTTTAAAATTAGTTATTTTGTCTAAATAACCTAAAATAATTTTTTAAATTTGTAGATTTTCGTTAGTGGATCGTAGAAAAAATATACTGACCATATCGAGTAGATTGTTCATATCACAATCAGACGATTGAGTTCTCCGCCTACGACGTCGTGCTCAAACTTCGTCTTTGTGTGATATGGCTATCATATCCACCCTTGTTGAACAAACTACAATTTATTTGTTTTCTTGGTTTAAGTTTTACATCAGAAATAGGAATTAAATTAATTTACTTTTCAAGTTTTCTTGTAAAAATCGATATTACTTTCTCCAAGTACAAATTTAGTACCTACCTAAAATAAGTACTAATTATGTAATATCTTGTAATATTGTAATTCAAATTTCACATTACTATAAAGTTTTAAAATTTCCTACTTCGGTATGGTCAGATAAAAATTGAATATATTATATTAATAAAAACTGTCAAAGTATAACTTCTACAAATCTGTATTTCAAATAATAAGAATACATCTAAATATAACCAATATTGTTAAAACAAAAGCACACATTCTTTATAATTCCAAAATACCATAGAGTTCCCAGACCTCAGTCGAAGCATTCGTTTATCTAGGTATAAACCCTTTGCGCGAAGAGTAACACTTGCCAGAGACACGGGGGTACCACTTGATTTGCATCCACGAGCGTGACACAATTCTTTAACAATTGAAGCCCTTGGTGTAAAATGGATCCAAGCCACAATTTGTCGTGAAGTGACTGTTTTAGCTCAAAACATTTGTTAACGAGGATTTTACTAGCCATATATAAATTATTTTACCTCTAATCCGAAAGATGTGCTATTTTTCGTAATATTTATATTTAAATAATTTTTTTAATTATATTTGAAAGATTTAAAACAAATTAAAAATGTAATTTCCCAAAACTTACTTAATATGGCATGTGACCAACCTTATTACGCCAAGGTTTTCAATTTTTTCAATAATAAAAAAATTGTTTAATCCGGGCCCGACTTTTCCCTTGAATCTAACAGAGATAGCACCATTCCGTCTTTCTTGGTTCTCGACCGCCAGATCAAAGACGCCGACACGGAGTTGTGGAGCTGTATTGTATAAGCTGTGGTAGTAGTAGTAACTTTACTCGGATCCTTTGACTTCGGTCCGTTTACCGACAACCGACGGGAAGTACAAGTAACTTGCTGAGTCTATACAAGTCTCCATACACATTACATGGTACTTGCAAAGTACTTGGCAAGTACCGCGTAGTGTGTAGCCGGCTTTGAGTATTTACTTGGCTTTAGAGCAGAGCATACAAGGGTTTCGTAGTACCCCAGTTTTAAAGTTTATTTTTGACATATTTTAAAAGAAAAAAATATGTGCGTGTAGGTAAAGGTTAAATCTGTGCTCCTCTGGAATCATTTTTTCAAAATTTCAATTTGTTTTTTCTAAAAAAAAAACACAAAACTCGACTATTTTGATCCATTTTCTCAATTTTTTTTAGAAAAAACTAAATTGAATTTTGAAAAAGTGGTTCCAGAGGAGCATAGATTTAACCTTTATCTACACGTACATATTTTTTTCTTTTAAAAATACTTAAAAATAAACTTTAAAAGTGGGGTACTACGAAACCCTTACATTGCAAGATTTTTCGTCTGGAAAGTGGCGACTCTCTTAGATTTTCAAGAAATTAATATTTGTGAATGAAAACAATTTACAAAATATTTTACTGATGTTTTACGAGGCATAATTAGAGTTTACGTATTTGTAGATACACCTTATTGTTTTACGTAAATCATTTCTGTAATACTAATATAGACATATTTATATAATATGCAATGGGTTTCATACTACACCAATTTTACGGATTATTTTTTATTTTTTGAAAAATTATGTAAGTACAGGTAAAGGAGTCACTTTTTGAACATTTGAATCGGTTTATTATGAGAAAATGTAAAAAGTTAGCTTTCTATCAAAAAAAAAAAAAATGCTAGAAGAGAACAATATATGTTTTTAATTTTTACAGGAATATTTATTTTTCTCAATAAAAAATAAAAAAATACGTTAAAAGCTTTTTCGTCTAGAGGGCGACACCAACAAAATGTATATCCTTTTCTACTGTTTACAAGTGATAAACGTACGCAAGTGATTTGAATTTATTTTGTTTTATGTCTGTACACTTTGTTATTTTTACATACAGTAATTTCGCTCAATTATTTTAAATTAATTTTATCATTTATTAAAAAAATATATAATTAAAAGGTATACAATGAGATTTGAATTATAAATTAACTTTTATATTGCACGGGAATTTTTTTTAATGAATACATCTTCGAGTAAAGAATAATGAATTCCAGCATGTTAACAACTCTTTAAGCTGTTAAAGTAATGTATATTTTTTTGAACTTAGTAAATCATTTTTTTGCTTTCGAGCGTGGCTTTGATCTCTCACACTCTTTGATGCGCGTTGCAAAAGAAGATTTTCTAAAAAGTTTGATAATGTCTATAGATGAGAAAAAAAAATCTAGTTTATTTAAAAATATAAAATGTCATGAGACCGTTTATTGTTTGTTTACATTGGCCTTCTGTTTTTGTTACTTTGACTTTTTGTATCGAGGACATATTATTATGTGAAGGGAATGTATTGCTAAACTATGGACGCTTTTCTACTCTTAATCAATTATTATTAGTAGAGTGTATGTATTAAAATATTCGCTCTAGAAAACGATTTACCTCCCTTTGTCACAAGCTG